ATTAATGCTTGAAGTTGCTTACATGGTAACAGAAGAGGTAATTATAGATTATACTGATATTCTTAATTTCTCAACATCTCCTATTAGTGTTTCCAGTTCATTAAAACATAGCTAATCTTCAAAACATGGGAGAAGTTCACTCACGGTGGTTCTGCTCCTTTGGCAAAAAGACCAGAGAATAGCACATAATTTGACTCAGCAATAAAGAGAAGCTGTTCATTTTTCCTTAGAGAAATTCTAGTGCCTGCATGCTTCAGAGAAGAAACTTGAATTTTGCCAGAGGGCTCTTGTGATAAGGATACACTTCTTCTCACCTTCTTAAAATCTTTCCCAAGTGCTCAAATTGCAAGTCTGTGAGAAGCCAAGGGGTCAGCAAGACCTTGCTGGAGGATTGCAGTCAAATTCCCTGAAGGTTCATGCTGCTTCCAGCCTAGACCCCGGCAGGATCTTCAGTAACTGCTTCAAGCCACAGTTGGTACTTCTCTTTTGTTCTTCCAGGGCTCGCTGCTGGGTCCTGGCAATAGGGGGAAGAACCCACATGACCCCAGTGTGAAGTACACGGCTGGGGCTAGAAGGCTTGAAACAGCAGCAGGAGGAGGAGACTAACACTGTAGCTTCACAATTGCTTTAAGCTGCCATAAGCTGTCTCTGCGGCTGGAAGAAGCCGTCCTAGCTCTCCTTTCCCTAGTCTGTCTTCCTCATCTGCCCACAAATGTTCCTGTAGCTGCACGGTGACTGAGCAACCGATCCAGCAGAACACCAGTTTTTTTTCTGAGTGACTTTTACCTCAGATAATTTCCATTATTTGATTCACCACTCTACTGCACAAAAATTTGTGCTGGCAAAAGTCAAAGAGCTACAGAGAGGCTGGATTTCTTCTTTTGTCACTAAGGCTGTAGGTATGAGTATAAACTGGTCATGAAACTATAGCATTAGTGTTAAGGTGGTTAGTGTAAGTAGAATCCCGGCTGAGCTAGCGTTCAGCCTGCTTATTCATGTATCAGCCTGCCTCTTCTTGCAAGCCTCATTCACCATGCACCGTCCAATTTCTACCATAGATGAGGCAGACAGTAGCTTCTTGCACTATTTCACCCCAGAGCAGGTCAGACAAGGCACAGAGCGAGACACCTTCTTGCAAGGAGCAAAGTAGAGCGAGACTCTGACTGACTCCGTGTTTGTGGAGGGAGAGGGGTTTCACAGTGCCTTCCCTCCGAGTGTTTAGTTTGTAAATTCAATACCATTATTTTCACAAAACTTACAGGGTGCAACGTATTGTTTACAATCTACTCACAACCCTTTGGAAGTTGGTAGATGGCAAAGAGAAATGTGGTCCCATGGCTAATGGAAGTGAGCGGGATTTCAAGCTCTGCCACCCGCACTGTTCTCCAGGTGACTTCTGGCAAGGCTCAGTCTCTCTGTCCTTCAGTTTCCTACCCGTTTATTGAGAAGAATGTATTTTTGTTCTGAGGAGAATGAATTCATTCACGTTAGTGGGACACCTGAGTGCCAGAGGGATTGGAGCAGTCATTCAAATAGCTCAGATCTGCGCACATAAATGGCAGCAGTCGTAACTCTGCAACTGCACTTCCCAGAACACTGGAAACAGTCACAGATGCTGTAAGCATCATTCCATCATTTTCTGGCCAGGGAGAACTTGTTGGAGAAGGCTGAAGCACGCTGAAAGCTACACGCTGCATGTCGTAGTCACCGGTGACCTAATGACTTCAAATTGTGGCTCGGCAGTGCTATCTTGATCTGAGCAAATACAGTTTGTTAGGTTGTCCTGATTACTCAAAGCTTTATTTTCTGCCCTACAGTAGTGATTCTTGTTGATTTAAAATTTATAAATGCCTTTCCTTCATCACCTGGTATTATGCATTTCTCAAGACAGCCTTTTATGAGATTACTAAATGAGCATCAGTGCCGTAAATCACAGATCTAACTGATAGGATAAATACCGGTATCAATGACTGAATTAATTCCCAGCATGTTTCTTTCGGGTTTAGTGGTGTTACACAAGAGGCAGACTGGGTCCCGCAGGTAATGACATGAATTACCCGCAGGGCAACTGAATGAAATGAAGAATATTATTAATGTTAAGTACCTTTAAAAAGTCACTGCAATAAAATCATCTTACCATCTGAGTAAGCTTTTAGTGGAAGTATTTGATTGTCAAAGAGGTAATTTTTAAATTTTAGTTTGACTGATCTATCTGAATATTTCTGGGGTCATCCTGAGGTGGCTCTACGTTATAGATATGACAAACACCAAAGCTGGGAAGTTGCTCTGAATTTTATCCTAGACTAGACATCAAGTATCCCCAGATGTTTAAGTAACTGCAGTGCTGGCTTTTTTAAACAAATATTAGAACTCTCAAAAATTAATACAAAATATAACTTGGCAAAATCCCTAAACATAATCTCTACCCAATGTGTCTGTTGACAATCTTTGTTGCCCAGTCTCAGGGTATTTAATAGGAAAGCAGAACAAAATCCAACTTTATCTCAACATTTGCGCAAGAATAAAATAGCGTTAGGTGCAATCTGGAGATTTTTATTAAGTAGAGTGTTTAAAGTAGCAGCTGCTCCTAGGATTTAATTTCCAGCGCCCGTGAGCTGACTAAAGTCTCTGTGAACACAAGACATTAATCACACCTCTTGAATACCAGAGCTGCATGTGGGTGACTGCAGCGACGGCATTTTCATCCCGCTGAAAAAGCCATCGCCATTTGATCAGGCTGGAAAAAAAATCATTTGCAAACGTGGAGGCTGTCTCTAATGGGCACTAAACACGCACATGTTCAGCATGGATAAGCTGTGCCAGTCCTTACGCCTAAAACGGATAGGTTTAAATCGGATTCAGAACCACTTCCCTGTCTCATGTATTCTCTGTTTACACGGTTAAATTTCCCTATGATGAACGCGGCTGCTACTACTACAACACGAGCTGAAAAAGGGCACTGGGAACATGGAAAATACTGCTGTCACCCCAACAGAATGACGCGTTTTGAACCCCGAGTGTTCAGCAGGGAGGGACAAGGCATACGCTTGCGCTCGAGGCCTCTTCACCAAAGCAAAGGTGGTGCGTCAAAGCGCCGACGCTCAGCGCCTGATTGATTTGAACCGCCTTCCCGAGGACGCTCTCCCTCCCGCGGCCCCGGGCGGCCGTCGGGGCTGCCTGGGCGGGTTGGCGGCCCGTAACTACGCCCGTTGCCCGCCCCGGCGGCTCCGGCTGTGGAAAAGCGGCGGTTGCAGCTTGCGGTACCTCGCGGGAGACGGCGGTTTGCCCCTCAGGCTGCAGGCCCGGCCTCG